ATCAAACCTGAAAACAATTCCAATGCATTGATCAATCTACACATATTCATAACTATAATACCCATTGTTATCTGTATCCCATATTTAAAACATTGTCTCATTGCTTCCGAATATCTATTCGAACTCTGTCAAATCTATACTAAATGTATCGCAAACAGATTGAAAAGACCCATGATACTCACGTAATTTTGATATTGAGTTATTAAGTAATGGATTTGATTAGGGAGGTTATGCATTTTGTAAATGCCCTAAAAACTATCCCATTTTTTATTAATTATTAATTTATAATTATATACAATCAGAACCTTAATAACAATCAACATTACCAATTTCGCAATGCTATTCTAAAGTAACTCCCTCCCAGATTAATATTACCCTTGAAAATTAAAATATATATAACATTCTATAAGCTTTAACTTTTATTCATAATCTATAATACTAAGTAAATTAAGCAAATTTAATCACGCAATTTTTTCAATCATAAAATTATTTTATAAAAATGAATAAATCTTATTGTTCTTCACATGAATAAGAGGAATAAAAGTATATTTGTGTCCATCCTACTTGTCTTCAAAAGGCAGATAATAAGCTGTGTTGTAGTTGTTGTTTCCAATAAAATCATAGAGAAAAAAAGGCTGAATAACATAAAATTATAACATTGTCTGAACTTGAGAAAACAGCTCATGCAAATTATACAAGCTTGAAAGAACATCTGCTCAACGAAGTTAAGAAGAACTCAGAATTACATGCATAGATAGAAGAACAATTATCAGCTATTCTACTTTCTCTAACTAATTGGTAAAATAATCAAAAAAAAATGTTCAATGATATCACTGAAAATTCCAGCTAGGTCTTAGCTCAAAATATATAAAAGGCTGAAAATCTAATAGAAAATCCGTCATTAGATACATTTATTTATTTTTATAAGTTCAATTTACAAGACAAATAGAATGAAATGTAAGATATTAGGGACTAATCAACGAGATAACTAAATTATTAATTAAATTAAATTGAAATGAAGAGGGATATATTGATAAATTAAAAAAATTTTATTGAAAGAGAACATTTTCTGAAATTTGCTTAAATGGATTACTAAATAGAAGTAGATAATCTAAATAACTTTTAATTTGAATAGTGTGAGTTACATTTAAGTTAAAAGGAGTTATTATGTACCCATCTCAAATGTTTAGAGAAAGATCCATTAAAATTAGAGTGCTCGCTCTGTATTTTACAAGATCACAAAGAACATCAATAAGATAATTATATTAAAACTCTTGCCATAGTAATGAAAGAATAAACAGAAAAAAGAGAACTAATTGAATAATTAACGAAGAAATTTAATAAAGATATTAACAAATCAATTAAGACGAATTTATAAAAAATTGATAAAAACCAAAACAATTCTTATGAGAGTTATGAATAATAAAAAGAATCAGCAGTTTTCTTAGGATAACAATAATTAAGTTGCATTTTAAAACCTGAAATTCCTAACTATATTTTTGGTCATCTTGATTAAAACCTACTTACAAAAACTAAAGAATAAATTAATTTTAGTTATGATTAGTTTTATTAAAACTTTGAAAGTAAATTTTCTAAAATCTTTTCTGATTAAGTCATTGATGTACTAAACTATTGTACTGAATTAGATTTCAATTCATAAAGAACCAATTAATACATCATTAATTTAGAAAAGGAACTTGAAATGCAAAAACAAAAAGTTGAGGAACAAGAAATAATAATTTAATCTAATACGCTTAACCATTCAAAAATTAAATAGTAATTAAACACTCAAAATGATACAATTACTAATTTTCTTTAAAAACTGGAAAAAGAAATTTCTAATTTATAATCCCTAAATTTAGTAAAATCAGATTTGGAAAATAAAAAAGTTTAAGATTTATAAAATAGTTTTTAAGCATCAATTGATAATTTTTAATCCTTAACTTTTAAAAATTCAGAATAATAAAATACTTAAATTAACAATTTATAAAATAGTCTTTAATCATCAATTGATAAATTGTAATCAATCACTTAAAAAAATTCAGAATAGTAAAATTAGAATTTTAAAGATATTTCTTAATAAAAGACTTCTTAAATAAATTCTGTGTCTAAAATTTAAATTTGGTTTTTCATAATTGTGATTTGTTTCTTATATTATCTTCGAAATGAACTAGATAGCATAGTTAAACTGAATTAAGAGTAATTACATGATCTAAATGTATTGAGATTTGAGTGTTATAAACGACCTTGAATAAAATTAAACGCAAAGCTGAATACAATTATAAAAATTATAAAATTATATATATATCATACTATTTAAATTACCAAATTACAGTATTTTATATATAAAATTTTATAAGTGATAAAACAACTCAGTAAATTAATAAAAAATTAAAGTTATCCCAAATCAGAATTTTTGGTTCTATCTTTTCTACGAAATTCCAATCAAATATCTCCGATTTTGACAAGAATCAATCCTCAAGGCTTAGCAAATGCATCTTTTTGACCAAACATTTGATTGATTAATATTTTCTAAAGAATTGATGACTATTTCAAGTTCCTTTCAAAAATTAAGCTAACTGGATTAAAATGTCTTTATGTTTAAATATATATATCTAAGAATTAAAATGATGAATTGATTAAAATAACTATTTATATATTTAGAGAATAAATCTAATGAATTAGGACTCATCAATTGATAAATTATTATTAAATCAATTTTGATATCAATCATTTCTGCAAGCTCTAATAATAATTGAAGTCTGTGTCTATTCATTATTTTTTCTCACTTTTGTATTCAGCATTTAATCTTTAAAATTTTTAATCAGAAATAAATTATTGCATAGAAGTCAGAAGCAATACTGATCAGATGTATATTGTGTAATTCCTTAATACAGATAAGAAAACACTAAGTATAGGCAACACTAAAAGAATCTCTACAATTAGCATATAAATTTTTCTTTTTGTGTATTCAGCCTTCAATTTTAGATAATTATGATATATAATTAATTTAATTTCATTATTTTAACGAAAGCTTAATTGAGGATTTGAATAATTTTTGATGTTAAAATTTTGTCATACATCCTTTATTGAAAATGTTAATTAATTGATGTAATTGGATATATGATCAAGAATTCTATATTCAATAAGAATTAAAAATAAACTATTTGCAATAAATGAGTATTTTAATTAAATAATAAACTTTAATTATTATTTGCTAATTAATCAACCAATTAAATCTTATCACAAATATTCATCCAGAATATTTAAAAATGTGCGAAGATTTGAACGGTCTGAGAATTTTCTCAATTGTATATAGACGATGCAAGCAAATATATATATATAAATGTTTATATTTAAGGCTAATCAGTCAAACTGATGTAATTCAACATTATCTCTTTGGTCATTTAAAAATCGATTGTTATTTTCGAAGGAGAAAGAGCGTTTTATTTATCGACTCTCTCTATTGAGAAAGGGGTTGTTGGAAAGATTGAATTCTTTGTTTTCGATAACCTGCTGCTTTCTCTCAAGGGTGATTTCTTCATTAGAATCAGGAGAAATATCGCTTTAAATTGCAAAACTAATTTAATATAAATGCTGCACTTGGCAAATCTTTATAGTTTTAAGAGTGGGTCTGTTTTCATTTAAAGACCTAGGCCTTTCAAATATTGTACTATTTCTCGCTCTTTTTTCAATACATTTTTTTTCTGTGAATCTTTGCACTAATATAATTGAAGAAATTCTTCTAAACTGTCCTTAGAATTCAAGGAAACATAAGAAAGCATTATTATTTGATGTAAAATTTATTAGTAAGTGATTATAGACTAATTTAAATTTTATGTAATATATATACTAGACAATAATAAAATTAATTTTCAAATCTGTTATTATTATTAGGCAAAACTCAGATCTTAAGATATTTCATCAACTTTCTTCCTCAAAACAATCAATGCCTACATAATAAATGGATATTTACTTTTTAAACGATATCAGCAGCTTTTAATTAGCCAGCACTCTCAACAGTGAAAATGTATTTATTTTTTTTATGTTGCATTTTAATCAATCTGGGTTTCTTCATGGATTCAGCCTATTTAATAAATATATATAATTACACATCGGATACATTCTTCGCAGAACACACACTTTTCAATGGCATTGACAATAAGGTCTTAATTAGCATCCATAGCAAAGACATTCATGGGACAAGAATCTCTGATTGACTGTTTTTCAAATAAGGACAAGGATTGTGTTTAGGAATGATCAAAATTGAGTTCTACATATAATAAATTTTTAAATATACCCGCTTCATGTCTGAATGTTGCAATGTTGATGGGAGTCCATTTAGCATGCATTTTGCCAAAACCTTTGAGTGCATGACAGCGTACATGAACAGATTGATTCTTTCCTAGTCTTGTAATAGGGATGCCCACTTCCTTGCCATTGATTGGCGAAAACATTCTGACAGGTCTAATTGCCATTTCACCCACTTATCCAAATTCAGGTTCAAGGTGTTGACTAGTGATTTCCAAAGGAGCATCATTCAGATTTTTTTATCTTAAGGTAAAGACCACTTTTGTTTTTTGATCATCTATGGAATCTGCATCAGCTTCCCAATCATACATTTTGCTGTCAGCAGCATATGAAACGAGAGGTATCAAACCAAGTCTTTAGGCAAGGAATTCATCTGACAGGGGACTTGTGTTTTCAATAATATCAACAAAATGAATTGCCATGACCTAATATTTTAGTCCAAAATTTTACAGGGACTTCTGCAATCATAACTCTTCGGATGGCATTTGCAATGGACAAATCGCCTTCAAAGCTGAATTTGCACTTCTCATCACTCAACTCCAAGATTTCTATACGATGTTGAGAGTTTTGTTCGAAGTTGTACTTGTACATTAATTATAATTATTTATTAAAATATATTTAATATATACCATATTTAATCACTCATTTTCTCGCAATTATAAGTACTTCCTTTTGTGAATCCATAAGCATATGAAATTCAACACACAATAAGCAAGTATGAAGGATCCAAACACATTTACACTAATGATTAAATACTGATTGGCAGTCCCTGGGATATTGGGTATACTCATCACTACTGTGAAGAAGTAGAAACTCCAACAGTAAATCCAGTTGCATATTTGTAGGACATTCTTGTTTTCAACATACTCAGATCCACAATAAGAGAAGGTCAGGACTTGGACAGCCGAGATTAGTAATCCTGACATAAAATTGAAGGTGTAAACCAAGCTATTCCTATTGTTGTTGATCTCATCTGCTTCACCAACAATCCTTAATTAATACAATCAATTTACAGATAATAAATAAGTGGCTGCTCCGAACAACTGCAAAACTATCAACAAATTCAAGTACCCATAGGAATATGATAGAAATCCAATCAGGATACCTCCTAAGAATTAACCAACCCCATGAATGCTGAGATTGGTAACTATGGCAGGTTTTAAATAGGAGACATTCGTATAGTTGGGTTCTATCATATCCTAAGAGTAAACGACACTAAAGGCAGTGAACATTCCGATGGATATGATGGTAGGGATCAAGTACACAAATTAAGGGTACTACTTTGGTATTTTCCAAATTAGTTTAAATTGAGTGATATATTCGTTATTATTTGCTTAATTCTTTTAATTGTCATCATCCATCAATGAACCATATAAATGCTCATTCAATTTCTATTACAAATCAATACTTTATTTGGTCACTGATTTCGACAATGAGTCTGGTTCTTTGATGAACCAATAAAGGAATGTTATGAGTAAGGATACTCCCAACATTGGATAATAGAAGTATTCATTGTAGTCGTAAATCTTCCCTTCGAATATGACATAAATATCTCCTATAAAGTTTTGCATGCAGAATAAGGAGTAGGCTACTCCAAAGTAAATGCTAACATTGTTCTTATTGGACATGCTACGAACATAGTAATTGAATGCGCAATAGAAGATTGCCATAAAGGGGGCTGACAAGGCCTCGAATATCAAGATGGTTGTAATTAAGTACACGTCTTTGGGCTGCTGCTCAATCACGATGATGTACAAGGTCATACTAAAGATATTAGCTACACTGGTGATGAAAAATACTGCTCTGAATCAAATATTATTCGATACTTGTAGGTGAATTTTAGAATCATCCTCTAGAAGAATGGCAATGAAAAGGGGCCTATCAAAAAGATGAGGCTAAATATGCCCAATGACACTGAGTTTATTACTTTATCATCTAGTTTGAGAATGTTTGAGAAGAGCACTGTTCGGCATAATCCTATGGCTCCCAAATAGCAGACAGTGATCATGCATGTGCATGTAAGAGAACATAAATTATCTCTCTTTTCTGACATTATTAATATATATTATATATATTGGTGATGCTATTATTTAATACAATAAATAATTGATCTTTCTTTCTGACTGAATTAATTGACAGAGTATATCATAGCTCATTTTTAAATGCTTTTCCTTTTTTGGATGATCGAGTTCTCTTTAGATGAAAGAATGGGAACTTTTCGATGAGTATGAAATTAAGGTTCTAAACCCATCTAATGGGCATTACGTTTTTTCTCTGAGAGTAATTGTATTGGAACTTCTCTTTGAACGTAACTGCGTTTTTATTTTTCATATGCTATTTAATTGGCATCGTTAGAAATTTCATCAATGAAAACCTAATCAGCATCGAAATAAATAGATTTGATTTGTTAAACTGAAGATTTGTAACTGATATGTAATTTCAGAAGTGGGCATGGTGTTTTTGTGATCCTAGGTTTTTCCTTCTTGAAGTGCACATTCCCATGTTAAAATAAGAACGAGGGATTAGTAAAAAATTAATTTAATGTATTCATGTTTAATAATTGTACTCTCAAGTAATGGAATTCCAGGAGTATTCGATTGTTGCCCAAAATAAATGTTCTTTCCATTGAATACATACACTTTTTTATGCATTATCAAACTGCAGAAGTCTTGAATGAGACTCAAAAGTGCTGTATAAGACTTGGCAAAGTGAAAATCAAAAATAATATTAAATTATATTATGAATCAATAATACCAATCAGGTGATGTTGAAGTTCATGGGTTCTAATAACAACAGCCAAAAAAATATGTTTAAGTCGGCAGCTACTGCGATGTGTACTACGATGTGCAGAAAATCAGACAGTTTGAGGATGGAATTGAAATGATAGAATTAAATGATACATTGCATCAAGGCAAGGCTTCCCAAATGCGTTCATGTAGGCATCACATCTAAATTAAGATTACACCATGAAATGGATGGAATACTTGAGTGAACTTGAGATTGAGTTAAAAGCCATTCTCCTTGATAGAGCACTCTTTGTCCCTGACCTAAATCAATATTTCAATAAGCGTCTCTAGCCGATGATAGAAGTCGCTCTCGATAAATCGTATTGACCTTCTTTCTAACTAGTATTAATGATACCAGCAAATTAAAGATCTAATGTTACATCAATGAGATCCTGCTTCTAGTTCAAAGTGTGAGTATTAAGATATGGAAGGAACATCCTCAGATTTCACTTTCAATCCTAAAACGTTTGCACTCTATCCTAAGCAATTCTTTCTACGATAGCAAAATTCGGGACTTAAGCGCCTATATTGACACATTTAATGACTTCTACGGTGAACGCTTGCATCATGGTGTTAGAAGTGAACTTGAAGGCTCTGATAACATCCAATTCACAGAACTCTACAATTCCAAGACCTTTTATCCACTCAAGGGGGAGATCCTGGATTCCTATCGAATGAATCAAGATGTGTATTCGTTCTCCCCATTTCAAAGAGTCCAAATCCACTACTTCTACAAGAATGGAGGCTTCGCTCTCTTGGATGACGCCATTAGGAATTTCAATCTAAATAATTTGGATGTCTTCTCCATCTTCCAATATCTCAATACTTTTTTGGATAGGCAGAAGTTTTTGAATTATTTCCACCATTTTCGACTTTCAGTCTTTGACATCCAAATTGACAGAGGAAGAAATCAAGAATTCCAATCGAGACACAATCAAAAAGTTGACTGACGGAATCGAAAATATATTTGATCAATTCTACACTTCTGCTTAGAAGAAGGAATTGATTGCCTTGTCTGAAATGAGTGTGTATTTACAATGCTTCCGTTGCACAGCTTTGGAGAAGAGGATTTATGGTATCTAATCATTCAACTAATTTAAGGATTGCAACAATTTTGTGATAAGATCAATACTGCCTAATCCAACGAGTTTATGAGTCAACAACAATATTATATTAATGACGAATGGTATAAAAATGACAATGTGTTAAAATACATAGTGGACAATCAAGTATTCTAAGAGTTATTTGGAGAAAAAGCTCACTTCGAATTGATGAAGAGATCATTCCCAATCATTCAATTTCTGTACTTACATCAAAAATTAAGTAAAGATGAAATATTGAGCATACTCAGATTAGGAAAAGGTAAGCATGAAACATGGGATAATATGATTTCAAAATTGCTCACAGATTTGGCAGAAATCTTATCACTAGAGGACGTTGAAACGCTGATTCAAAATATAAAGTAGAGTTAGATAGATTAAAATGGACTCAATTTTATTAAGAGTTTGGGGAGAAACAAATATTTGCGATAGGATTTAGAAAACTAGAATAATAGAATGGGAAATAACAATAATAATGATAATTTTATAAAATAGAATGAGAGATCAAGTGGGAAAAGGAAGTATGAATAATTCGATACGGATTATAAAGAAATAGAATAAAATAAAAATGAAACCATAGAGCAATTTGATAATGACAGGGCTATATAATTGAAATCTCAAATTGTCGAATTCCTATTAAACATTGTTCACGAATAACCAAGCACTGAAATTGGTCAGTCAGCTTTCTAAATAGCTATCAATTTAATTTGTCATCAATTCAAATCACTCAGATAACAATATCTATTGCACGGATTTTCGAATTTGATTGCTTAAGAGCAACCATTACCAGTCTGTAATTACATCACTGTGTTATAAAAGATCATTTCATCATCTTATCCGTTAGCTGAATTTAATAATTCCAGGGATGTCTTGAAATGGATCCAAGACAAATACGATATTAAATTGAACTTTTTAAAAGTAATGGGAAGAGAAAAGTTGAAATTGATCAAAAGAGAAAGTAAGGATTACTTATAAACGATTGAACAATTTGTTAAATTCTACGAATTCCTTCATTAAGATTCAAAAATCACAAGAGCTTAGTTGATGATCTTATGGAAATTGTTGGTAGAAAATGCAAGATGTATAGAGGAGAAGGATCTATTTTTTAATTGGGTTGGAGATGTCAATAAGAAGTTCTTGGATCAAGAGGCCATAGAGTTATTGTTCATATCCACCATTAAAAGCTCCTCCCTAAGTCAGTAAATGTTGTAATGCTTGACTAATCTAATTCTATATTTCAATGTCTAATATAAGGTAATGAAGTTGCAGTATGATCAATATACAATTGTGGATGCAGACATTATTGGATTGCAAGTACTATGGAAGATCTTCAAGTAGCAAGTGTAATTGGGACCTTAATTGTAGCAATTCTTCATTAAGCTCTTGCGATTCAAATAGCAACAGACAATCCTAAATTAATTAAAATAACAATACTTAGTTTAACTGTTCAATTAAATTAATAATCCTAATTCTCTATCATTGATAGTCAAATTATTAGAAGAATTTGAAGGATACTAATTAATAGAATAAGGGGAAAAGGTGTTTGTGACGATTGATAATAAATGCATGGATGCCATGCCTCCAAAGAGATAAGATATTCAATTATTGAGTGGATTGCCAGTATTATAAGCAAAACAAATAATAGGATAGAAATTGAATCCATCTTTGAAGCCAGATGAATTCGATATTTTCTGTAGAGGAACTCTATTTGATGATAATAAAACACTCAAAGATTATAAGGTAAATTAGAAACTGACTTTTGTAATATCAAAAAGAGAGAACTTGGCAGATGAGATTAATGCTTATAATAATACTACCAATCAGATCTCTAATGAATACGTGCCAAACGATTCAGATGAGAGAGTCTAAGAGATTATCAATATAGTGTAAATACAAGACAGAGATTTCATAATTTCTGTGTTGAAGGAAAAGAATTGGCAAGTAGATAATGCTATATGCGATATTTTGGATCGTGGAGAACAATTGCTTTAGGAATACTAATAAAAGAATCCACAGGTTAAGAAACAGTAAAAGGCTGTGATGAAACAACAAACCGATGAGATCTCATTTGCTTCATTAATCTCAAATAATTACATCAATTAGTTATTCATACTACTTAATGAAGGGAACCATGAATAGAGTACTAAGGTTTGGTCTATCCTATAAATGATACCCAGGAATAAGGAAGTGTACGAGTTGATTGAGTAGTCGTAAACTGATTGGTGTAATCTCCTCATGGTAGATAACAAATACAAATTGTAATATCACTTGTAAATTCTAAAGGAATAATTGTAATGTGACTACATTGAAGATCAAGATGAATATGAAAAGAGAAAAGCATTACGAGAAAACTTCCTCTTTTAAGGTGGCCTAAAATTACTGTTGATCCAATTGGACAATCCAATTGAAATATTGACAATCATTCTAGATATCTTCTAAATCTACTTCTTGGCTTATTCAATGAGTAGATTGAGGATGATGAATTAGAATGAGTTCTTACAACTCTTAAGATTAAAACAGGCTGTCTAATAGAAGGACGAAGATCCTAAATTATGCAGTCTATTGAGTATATAACTATAGAAGTAAGAGAAACCCAACATACAAGGATACGACGAGGCTTAACTTCTCTAATAAGTGTTCTTTAATTCGGAATTGGAAGTAGAATGGAATGTATTGTTGGAATCTCTGACCCAAAGAATTGGAGTTGAATAGATATACACAAACATTCTATGCATCTTGTATATGAAACCTGAATTACTTAAACTTGAATTGCCCATCAACAGGTTGGTAGAATTGCTAAATAGTGCAAATGAGGAACAACGAAAATTGACAGCCTATTTCATACTGACGCTTCAAGATATTGGAAAGAGAAATGGAGTGAATCTCAGCAATGACATACTGAAGGCCTTAATCAAGGGAGAAACATAGTATGATGAATTATACCTGGTGATTGCCGGATTGATTGGTTAGGTGAATGATCTGACATTCTTTGACACTCATCAATTGGCTTAATAGATAATATCATTGATTTTAAATAGGCAAATTATGGAGTAAAGATTTACTGAAAATGAAGATAAGCTATTGCAAGGCAATTTGCTATTGTTGACTTCCTTGTTGCAGGTTGACAAAAACATTAAGGTAGACATTCAATTCACAAAATTCTTATACAAATGTCTATTTGAGATGAATAATGATTATTACATTTACCCTGTTTATAAACGCAAACTAACGAGAAAGAGAGTATTCCAATTGTTATTGGAATTGTGTAAAGATGAGAATCATCTACACGAGATGTTACCTCTGATTCAAAACCATCATTAATTGAAATTCGATGTCAATGAGGTCGATATGGACTTGGGAGTCAAGGGTTCACATGGTTTTGTTGGATTACGTAATTTGGGAGCTACTTGTTATATCAATTCTCTGCTACAATAATTCTATATGAATATCCCCTTGCGTAAAGGCATCTTGAATGGGCAGATCATGATCACTGAAATGAAGGCTCCTCTCATCTTCGATAACATCAATGCTGTTGATTCACCAATTTTGCAACGTAAAATGGCAGATCATACTTTACACTAATTGTAGTTAGTATTCATTCAACTCCAAGAATCTGTGAAGCAGTACATCAATCCTCATTAATTGATTAAAACATTGAAGGGATATGATGGCGAAGTCATTAATGTCGTAATTTAATAGGATTGCAATGAATTTTTTAATTTAATCACTGATAAATTGGAATAGGACTAGAAATTCACTAATTAATCCAATTTAATACATTAAATTTTAGGTGGTACATTAGTTAATGAAATCAAATCATTAGAACCTGAGTATGATTTTAGGAGAGAAAATGAAGAACCCTTCTTGACTGTCTCTGTTGACATCAAACATAAGAAGTGTCTTGAAGAAGCATTAGATTTGTTTGTCAAGGGGGATGTTCTTGATAGAGAAAATAAGTATTTTTGTGAAGAAGTGTAAAGAAAGATTGATGTCTAAAAGAGATAATACTTTAAAAAACTCCCCAATACTTTCATCTTCCATTTAAAGCGATTTGAATTTGATTACAATACAATGTTGAGGATTAAGATCAACGATTACTTTGAATTCCCTCAGAAGATCAATATGTTTAAGTGGACACGAGATCATATAGTAGAGAATATGGAAGTTGAAGATTAGAGTGATTCCATGTACATTCTCAAAGGAGTGTTGGTGCATGTTGGGAGTGCAGAAGGTGGACATTATTACTCGTATATTCGAGATGTTGATAAGTGGTATGAATTCAATGATAAGGTGATTTGTCCATTTTAGATTGAGAACCTCAAAACTGAATGTTTTGGAGGAGCCAACAACAACCTTTCAGAATGGGGAATGAGTAACAGTAAGAATGCATACATCTTATTCTACGAGAAGGTCAAGCATAATATTCCAGAACAGTTCTATTTAAAAGGTAGCAATGAGGAAATATTGATTCAACACGTAATTAGTGAGAATACTGAGTATTTGAAGAGTCAATTGTTTTGTGTTCAGGATTACTTGAAATTCATCTAAACATTTGCATCGACAATGTAGATCAAAACTCCCTATTAAGTGACTCACTAATTATCGAAGGAAAGCAATTTGAGTGAATTAGACAATCTTCCATCATTAAGAATGATTAAATTGCTAACTTTCTTCACTTATGAAGTCTTACTTCGAAACAAGGACTAATAGATGTTTTAATATAATATGTAGGTCTTGAGTGACTTGTACAAATAAGAACCAGCTGCTAATTTCTGGTTTTTAGATCTTTTAAGAAATCACAAATTGCTGATCATTGACTTATTGATCGAATCTTCATATTCAGATGTCAGAAATGCGTTTGCACAATTGATTATTCAATCGATCACCATAATCGTCGAATATGAACAACACTACTTATTTGAAGATTCGTGCATAGGTCGATTCCTTCAGTTCTACATATAATCACTTTTAAAGGTGGTGAAGAGTACTCTCAGGAGAGGAACAGAGTACTTCACAGTAATAAAGAATATTTTAACCAACAACCAGCTCTTGGTGAAGCACTTTTATTAGTAAGAATACTTCAAATAGGTTTATTAATTATTACAAGAAACAGTGACAGAAGCACATGTATATACATCATTTAAATTACAGTCATTGTAAACTAACAACACCGATTAGCCATTGATGGTGATCTGTGATATAATTACTAAAGTGATAATTAGTTGTAGGACCTAGAGTATGATTGAATTGAATGAGGATGCTCCGACTTACCAATTCAAAGGACAGAAGGAAATTGATTATTGATTAGTTTTGGTTGAGCAGATTGTTGGATACTGATGATTTCAAGAAGTACATATTGGCTATGATTCAATTCCAGCCGAATTTGATTGATATGATCAAACATGTTTGTTGGAAGAATTCTAAAATCAGTTCTCAAATCATGACATTGATAGTAACCTAATTCTTAGATTTTCTAATTGAGTGGCAATACTTGGAACCTCTTTCTTAGACAGTTGAAGCCTTGTTAAAAATGGATGACAATTTGGTGGAATTGCGTTTCCAATGTTTATTGTGTGAACCCTTTAAGATCTTATCATGTGTAAAGGGTTCTTCGATAATGAATGCTATTGTGTCCAACTTTGATAAGGATAAGAATTATGGTTTTTGTATGATAGCAATACTTGCAAATTTGGCATCTCAAGTCAACTATGTTGGGGAGTACTTCAAGAAAAATAAGCAACAATTCGAAATATTGCTTTGGAAAGCTAGAGAGTATAAGAATATCAATTATGGCTTGTACTTCCCAGTCATGAAGATTTAAAAATCTATACAATAGGTAATTTGATTATCTTATATATATTTTAGTTATCTGCAATTTTCGAAGAACCTGAAAAACCAATAATTCAATTCTCCGATGAAAAATGTAATTAAATGGTTCAAGAAGAGCCTGAACCAGAAGATTCCAATCTTCAAGTGATTCATCTGATCCAACAGAATGAGATCAACTATACTTAGACTAAAGATGACTCAATGGACAATAACAACCCATCTGATAGAGAGAATCCATCTGATAGAGAGAATCCAACTGATTAATTATCAGAATGAATAATAATATATTAATTAAATGGCATCAGCATTCCCCAAATTACCAGGCTTTGTGCCCACTTAGGAGATCGATGTAACACTCACTTCATAATATTACTAGAAACCAAACTTTAGAAAGGTCTCATCAACCAAACAGGAACAAAATAGAGAAGTCAATCATCTGGCTAATAAAGAATATCCTGTACCTCGTAAATAACCAATTCAAATACCACCATAATCAGGAATGTTCAATCCTGATTATATGAGTACAACCCATGCAATGCATCTTCCCAAAGTAAAATAACAGTTACATCATAGAATGCCAACAATGATTCTGAAGGAATTATACCAACCCAGTTGGGTCAAAATGGATAGACATGTTCTACGAATTCAGTGGTTACTTCAAAGAGGCAGTCGTTGAATCTGCACTTGAGAATTATCGCATTCGCAAAATTACACTCTTTTATTATCTTGAAGACCATTCACTTAGTATAACTGAACCAAAATAAGAAAATAGTGGAGTACCCCAAGGAGCCTTCCTTAAAAGATAAAAAGTATTCTCTCCCAACCAAATTAGGTATTAAGAGCAGATGATTCTAAGACTTTCATATTACCTGAAGATTTCAGAATCAATCGAGATATCATCATCTTTGGTAAAACCATCCGTCTTTTTGATTGTGATCAATACACTAGAGAATTCTACGAAGTAAACTTAAATCATATCTCTAGCTATAAGGAATACCATAAGAACCATCCTTTGTACCTCAATCAGACTCATTTGAAACCAAAACTATGACTAAATTCATCCCTCAAAAAGATACAGTCATGAAAGATTACTTAGAACATAAATTAGGAGGTGGTAAAGTTACTTCTTAAAAGCAATTCTTAGAAAATGACAGAAAAGTATCATTCTATTTTTATAATCATCAGGTCCTTAAATTCTATGTGTTTTCAGACATCGAATACATTCTTCACTATTATTTGGCTGATGATACTATTGAGATTAAAGAAATCAACTCAGCCAATTCAGGCAGAGTCCCATTTCCCATGATGTTGAGAAGGTAAAAACTACCCAGAAAATTCTCACTCAATCAACCTGGATAAACATATGCAGAGGATTTCATTAGGCCACAAGATATTTAATATGGCTAACCCCTCATTATCTATAATCGCAAATTCCTCATCAATGGATGTGATTAATTCACTAGATAATACTATTTTGATAAATTCAATGTCGATTTCCCTTTAGGAGGCCAAGAAGAATATGTTCAATAAGAAAGATCCAGTATTTTCTATTTATCATTTAGATATTATAATCCCTCCACATAATGGAATTGGAGATGAACAAGATTCTCTTGGATATATTTATAGATTATAACCTATACCTCCCAAAAAGGATTTCTTCAAATGGGTTGATAATCAAGTCAATCTCAGATTCCTAGCCATGTTCAATACTACCAAACCTGAAGATAAAGACAGAGTCTTCGTAATCACCTTCTTTTTAAATGATGACAGTCTGTTGGTGTATGAACCTACTGTTAGAAATTCTGGTATCTTTCAAAAGTATTATTTTAAGGCATCCCTGATGGAAAATTCTTGGAAAAAAGAAAGTATAAGAATGTGAATAATAATAATGAATTCTTTACTCCTGGAGATCTGATTGTTGGTAATGAAGTTTAAATAAATGGATGGAGATTTTAATTGTTGGATTGTGATGAATTCACTAAAAAATGGTATTCTGAGAACTTTAAATGAACATTTAATCACATTTATGCCATATTTATTATTAAATATATTCAAATCACCTTACATTTCATATCTGCCAAATTTCCAATAAAAAACAATACAAATTTCTTATTCTTCTAAAAGAACTATTCAGCACCTGTCTCTCCGCCAAATCCCAACTTTGAGCACTTCTTTTTACTGTATTCAATCTTAATGTCTTCATATTGTAATAAACATTATTTATTCTAAATATCTAATGATATTGTAATATGAGCAGGTCTTTTCTCTTTTAAGGCTCTATTATCATAAGAATATTTACAATCTCACAGATTCTCCTATGATCTTTCCCTCTGGTTTCTAAACAGAGAAATTGATTCTACCTGTGTTACTCAACCCGAAATAGGCACTACAATTCTATCTATAGAAATAGTTGTAATTCATTAATTTAGAATGATGAGCAAATCCAACTTGCAATTATTAATTTTAACTAGTATCATATTGTTCAACTTAAATGGTAAATTAATATTTATTGGGATAGGAGAAGGTATTTTACGACACAATTACTACTTATTAATCTTATGATGTTATTGTAATGATATTTCCATTTTCGATAGTACTTTTAATTCCCTACAAACTATAGAATTGGATGGATTTCTCTAAGGATAACAATTTAGGTATCTCTTGGAGTGTTTCCAATATGTCATTTTATATTTACTAGGATTACAAAATATCAAAATACAATTAAGTCCTTCTTCTGCAATTTCAAGCTTTGTTGCAATAAGCATTTATATATTGTAAATATCTGCTACTTTTTCTATTCAATCTCAGGTTTATTAATCATGGCATTTAATTCTTGATTGAAATTTGCTTTGTTAATGTTTCCACTTTAATAGGATTAATATAATTTAACAATATCTTAACAACTGGTAACATTCTTGAGTAGATCAAAAAATTCTATCTCTTTTTATTGAATTTCCCTTGGGGTCAACTGATTATAATACACTTGCAAGTCTTCTCTAAATAATTTGATATTAGGAATACGAAAAGCCGTCAAATTTCAACAATATTTCATTTTAAATGGAAACGAATTCTCTATCTACAACGCTCACCAAATTTTATTCACTTCTGAGTTTGGTTACAAAATCAATCACTTTACAGTTTTCCGATTTGATGTTATTCTATACGATGTATTTTATTATTAATTACATTTAAAATGTCATCAATGAAGAGACATTGTTCTGGATGATCAGAATGATCCTCAATCACACATTATACACAAGCGACATGGGATTTGCATGCTGATTCTAAGCAAATCAAATCAATTTATTAATCTTTGTGTTTTGAACAAGTTTGCATTAAAATTAATTATAATATTTATTTATTTTAATCATCCAATCAATGAATCATTCATTTTTTTAACCAAATGAAGGTCCAGCTCTTATTTTTTTAATTAAGAATGCCAAAGCTATCAACAACTGAATTACCCCAACAACAATGAAGGCAATTGAAAGAAACAGATTCTTCCCTCCAAAAGGTCCTGATGTAGAGAGCACAATATTCTTAGCTCCAGCAAACATTTAGGGATTGTAATTGTTTTAAAATTCGAAATGTGTATTCTCCTTCCTCTATGTCTTATTCTATGCGTCCCCACAGTTTCCTAAACGTAGGCAATCCCGCTGTTCTCATCCAAACGATGAAGTGCTCATTCTCTGGATCAATCCATTAAGTACTCTCAGAATCAGATGCTCGCTTATACTTTTTGCCCTTATCATTAGGCCAACTGATTCCAGTTTGATTCAAATCAATCTTTTTTCCTGATAGACTTAATTCATAGGTATCATTGAAGAAACTCTTTGCCACCAATCCACAAGGACTGGCAATATCGTCAGGATTACGCTCTTTTATAATTTGAGTATTCTGCTCTGTCACATATACATTTTATTGCCATTCTTCCAGATCCTTATTGTAGATGATGGGATCGCAATATTTTTCTGCATCCGACAGGGAAATTTCCTCTCCTGATAATTAGGTTGATGATTTGGATTTAACATACCGTCTATGATTCTGATAAAAATTCTCAAGCTCATAATAAAAATAAATTGGAGCCTTCATGTTATCCAATTTGTAAGTAAAACTGCATTCCTTATTGTATTCAACGGGCGAGCATTTTTGATCGTATTTGTAGATAGTTACTTCCTAAATTTGATTATTGATCACAGTTATCACTATTCCCAAAGCCACAAAAATCACACCTATTATTGAGAACAAAGCAATAGTGCTTCCAACTGAAGGCACTGGATGCCATTTCTTGAAGAAAAGAAAATGCAGAAATCCTTTCGAATCACTCATTAATTAATTAAATATCTTTTGATGGCATTGAAATCAGCAGCCTTATTTGAAAAAATGGATCCTTTCATCAAAAGTCAAGGAGCAGACTTGGTTAAGAAAATCAACGCAGTCTATTTCTTTGAAGTATCAAAAACCAAAGGCGAGACTCCACAAGTATGGACAGTTGATCTTAAAAATGGAAATGGAGTAAGTTCATTTGTCATATCATTATCTTTAGTCGATTGCTAAAGGCAAAGTGGGAACTGCTGATGCCACATTTACAATGGTCGATGATGATATGATTGCAATGGCATAAGGGAAACTGAATCCTCAATAAGCCTTCATGTAAGGAAAGATGAAAATCAAAGGAAATATGGCAGCTGCCACTAAATTTACACCAGACTTGTTACCCAAGGATGCCAAGTTTTGAGTAAGCATTATAATATAAATATATATATAAATAAATAAATGTATGAAAGTAGAAACAACTCAGTCCCCAGATCATTATAGTAGTTGCAATACTTAAAGCAATATCATATCATGGATATAACCAATGATTAATAATAGATTGCAAATTATCTTGATATTTTAAATTAGGAAACAGACGTATATTACCTTTTTGACTCTTTTCATTCTCTTTTGAATTCAGTTAAATAAGCAGAAGAAGCAAAGATAACTAATAAACCAAGATAAAATACAATTGATTGGTGGAAATTAACTAATCAATCTTACAGCTGGGCAGGTTTAAAAAACATCAAAGGGATTTCGAATACTCCCTCTAAAATAAGAGTAACTAATGACAGCAGTCATGCCAGGCAGATCGGGCAAGTCGAGTTATAGGTATTCAGTGAAAAGGATCTAGAACCAAATAAGTAGGATAGAACTTTGCTTAGCGTATACTAACTGTAAAATAAGTATTACAAATGTCATATGGGATTCTGCCAGTTGTAGAAACTGGAAGGGTAAGTAGTAATCATTAATAAATTATACATAGCCAAATGGTATAGAAAGGTGGGCAACTTCTTAGAATTGATACAAGAATTTATTAAATATATCTTGAGTGTGTTGTCTGCATAGAGAGTGAAGATCAAGATTAATTCTAGTTAAGGATCACAAATCAAGTATCTCCAATAATTAGGATTCAAATTATCCTAAACTATTCCATTAATAAATGATCTCAAAATATTTACTTTAATTTTAGACAAATAATGATTCATATTTCTTATTTACGTTTAATGAAGAGATATAAAGACATATAAACACACTAAAATGAAAAATTAATTATTGATTTGTGTATCATGACTAGGTTTATTTCTTGTAAGCCTATTTCCTCACTTAACTGAAAAAGTCAAACATTGCACTACTAGCTTAATCAGTCTCTTTCTCAACTTATCCTTATTATTGAGGCGCATTCACTGATTTCTTGTTCTATTTTCTTACTTTTTTTGGTGCATCCTGAGTATCCCCCTAATTGCCCTATTCAGCTAATAATTAAATAAAGACTATTACCTTAAGCAGCTTAATTTTATATTGACTATTATTACTATCTCGAAGCCTTGGGCCTACCACCTCCTCTACGATTGCCACCTTTCTCTCTTTAAATAACAACAATTGTAGTTTTCTTATGATAATTGTCTTCGTAATTGATGGGTATCATATTCTTGAAATCCTAATATGATTTGGCATAAATTGAATCTAATTCTGAAGTATCTGGTTTGAATCTAAGATTGGCATCAAGAAACTGTTGATCGACTTCTTCATCCTCTTAGTCTTAATCGTATTGATCATATCCACAAACTATTTGATAGTACATTCCTTCTTTGAGATATAGTTTAGGATTGAGATGAAACAACCTAAAACAAGGATAGATGCAAAGAAATATGTTGGTGCCTAGAACTTTATTACACCCTAAACATGAAGCAGTAGTTTTGGAGAGGATGCTCTTACTCAAACAAACTTAGCATCTAGCATTTCCATTGTGTATGGGACAATGATATAATTGATCATTAACTATACCAACTGTTTAATCTGTTTGACAAGATCTATCCACTTAGAGGGAGCCATCCTTTCTGAGTAAAGGTTTAGGATTCTTATAATCGATAAGTTTGTTAATCAATTGCAGAGCTAGTTCAGTTCTGAATGATTTAATTTCTTATTTTTTCAAGATCCGAATATTGTGTAAGATGGACTCTATAACAAAGATGAAAATGATCTTAGAAGTTGAATTGATAGAAGCATTTTCAGGCTCTGATGGTTGGATTGCTATTTTCTCTTCTGCAAATTGCATTTGAGATAACTCTTGAAGATATTGATTCCTCTACTATAAGGAGTGTAATGAAACACAAGTACTCCATTGTTAGTTCTTATAGCATAAATAAATAGGCTCTTTGCTTTTGGAAGAGTAAAGCACTTATTGATCTCCTGTTGGTGGATGTGGCAACAATGAATGTTACACAAGATCAGTGCAAACGAATATCTTCTATTGATATAATTATAGTATTGATTCTGCATTGAGCAATCCCTGACTATAAACAATGTGTCTTCCAAGGTGATACGGCTCAAACATCATCCTAAGTCTCTTTTGCAGATCTCTATGATTGTTCAGATCCAATGCCTTACTAAGTGGAGTTGCCCAAAAGAACTGCTATAGAATGATTCCAGATTCTTTATCTATTAATTGATACCATTGAATTTTAGTTGAGTAGATCAGAGTATAGAAATTTGATATTAAGAAGAGTTCCTGTCCTGGCAATATCAGTTTCTTGAATCTATCATTTAACTCCTAAGTAAATTAGGGTAGATATTCTTATCTGAAGAAAGTTTGAGCATTGAATTCCAATTTAACTGCTAGTTAAGATTCAGTCTATAATTTTGGCTAGATGATTTCCACTCTCTAATCAATGTCATCAAATTGTTGTTGAGTTATAATAGATTTAATGCCACCACCTGCAATCCAATCTTCCCCATAGAAATACTCATTTATGTCTGGCAGTCTCATGTACCCCATGATTAATTTGGTTCCCAAGTATAACCAGAATTCAGACTCACTTGTTTGACAAGTTTTCATTAAATCTTTGAACCTGGTTTCACCAAATAAGAGTCTGATCATGTCTTAAGTGTTGTCTTTATATTCCAACATCCTGAACTACCCTGAAAACTTAGGGGTAATCATATTGTTTAATTGAGTAAACAGAGTCCAATCTTAGTTTTCTATATCTTACACTATGCCATCATCCTCCTAAACTATTTCTTCCAATAAAGCTTAATGTTTCCTCTATTGTTAATTCAATGGCTTATTTTATACTGGAGGAGGAATAGGCTATTGTAATAATTGGGTAATTTTTTGTTATTTGTCTATTTAATGAGATGCAAAGTTGTCATTTTCACCTATTTCTATGGGAGGCAAGTTTTCAGTGGTTTTTTTTCTAAAGAAGGAGGAAGGAGTGTTGTCTTCGATCTTTTATTTTAAAATACTGATATTAGAAGTAAGTTGTTATGGTAATTCATCATCTGAATCAATAACAATAGGGTTCTTGTTCTTCTTTGAGGAAGAGGTTGCTGTTGCGATAGGTTGAGTAAAAGAAAAAAACTCCTTCTGTTGTTTCTTCAATGCAGGTTCAGGCTTTGTTATTTGCTCTAGTAATGAGGGTTTGTCTTCGGAGTTCTTATTTTCAAAGGGCTTCTGGATTTCAGGTTAAGATACTTCAGACGATCTTTATGATGGGGGAGGTAAGACTACTTCTTGTTTTTCCGACTCATTCTATATAATAGGTAAGGGATCTTATGGAGGAGGAGGAGGAACATTATTTTTTTCATTTTTTGTTGCCTTCTTGGGAGTAGTAATTAAATCATCTTGTAGGTCATCATCAATAATAATAGAAGTTTATCTTTATTTTTTATAAAGTAATTTGCAATCTGCTTCTTGGCTCTTTTTATCTTCATCATTACTCTCTAATGCTGCCAAGATTACTTGAGAGTTGACATCTTGTCTGGGGGGGATGGGCAAATCCTCCTATTGTTAGGGTTCTTAATGTTGAATTGCTTCTGGTTCTGGTTGTGGAGATGAATGATGATTTTGATCTTAGGGATCTTAATTATCTTCTTAGATGAGCAATTGTATGATATGGTCGACGTTGTTAGTTTATTATAGTTGATCATGAATTTATTTGGTAGGTTGATCAGTATTCACATGTTGGGATGATTGATTTTGGACAATCTATTATGGCAGTTGATTTACTAATTCATAGAGGAATTGAGACTCAAGTTGAGGCTAATTCGAGGTGATTTCTGACATTATGTATTATATAATTGAAAAAGAGCGTGGTTTATTTTGAGCTTATATGAAAATTATTTCCTGGATTTTTATTATAATTTGGATGAAGTAATCCTTCTAAATCAAATCTGAAATGTATTTAATTAGTATTATTGATCAAGTCAGCTTTGTTTTAAGATTGTATTCTTGGGTTAAAGTTCAGTTGGCAAGACTTCGCTCATAAAGCAATTTTTGAAAAATGAATTCGTAATGAAATCCATGAGTACAGTAGGAGTGACATGCGTAAAATATAAGTGCTATTAGTATAAGGAATCTAAGATAGTCATAGTGAACAATCAATAGGTGAAGGTGCAACTGTGGGATACTGCAGGATAGGAGAGATTCAGATCAATCACTAAAAACTATTATCGAGGTTGTGATGCAGTTGTGATAGTCTATGATGTTACAAACATGAAGAGTTTCGATCAAGTGAGTAGTTGGATTGCAGATTTCGATGAGTATACTATCACGTCTATTAAAAGCAAATGCGAAAGACCAGCAATCAAAATGTTGTTGGGTAATAAAATAGATATGTAAACCAGAGATGTGAGTACTGAATTAGGAGTGGCATACTCAAAAAGGAAGAAAATCCTATTCTAAGAAGTCTCTGCAAAAGAAAATGTTAATGTTGAATGTGCCATGTTGAAATTAATTGAAATCTTAGTTTCACATACTAAAATAGAATCAGGAGACAAGAATCAGCGTAGAGGATCTATGATTGAAACCAAGTAAATTGTTCTTGAAGATCCCTTCATTAATAAGTCAGCTAGATTCTACAAGGATGTTTCAATATCTGATCATTCAAAATTTTAAGTAATCAAATCAGCAGGTGATAGTTCACAAGAGGATATTCAAATAAACAACACATCTAATCGTTAATTAACATCCCCTTAAGACAATGCTACTCATACACACCAGTAGGCTGAGACTCCTCTTAAACTCATTCATCCAAGATAATCAGGTATTATAAGGGATGAGTATTTTAGAAAGCATTCGTCTAATCAAAGTTGTATGTGTTCTTGTTGAATATTATTTATCTCTGTTAATTATTTACCAAAAAGATTTAAAAATTTATTTTAAATATAATGCCAAAGGGATAGACCACTACAACCTAAAAAGCTTAAAAGGCAGCAAAAAATGCCAGAGTTACCAAAAAAGTTGTTAGAGCCAGAAAACATTTCTAAAATAGATTCCACACTGCCAAACCATTAGCATTAACTAGAAAACCTAAATTTACCAGATTAACAAGATAATTAAAACCAATCACCAAAGGTTTAGATTTCTAAAATGTCCTTAAACATCCACTCATTACAGAAAAAGATATGAAGAAAATGGAAGATGAAAACACCATGGTCTTCTATGTTAATTAAAAATCAACCAAGCCATAAATAAAAAGAGCATTCTCTAAAATTTATGAAGTCAAAGTCAGAAAAGTCAATGTATTCAATCTCTGCTTATCATTAGATCTTAAATACATTCGGTGGAAAGAAGAAGGCATACATTAGATTGGGTGGAGAAAATGATGCACTTAATTTGGCCAACAAAATCGGTATCATCTGAGTGACAATTATATTACACAGTAAAATATATTCAAATTTATCCTATATATTTTATCTATATGAATCCTTTCATTAGAATTATCTATATAATTGTATATTTAAGGAAGGATTCAGAAAACCCATTCTTTCTTAAACATTATAAATAACTATTATATAATCCCATTTGTTATCACCTTCGTTTCAAAAGTTAAGAAAAAATCAATAAAAATGTGAAATTGGATGATATTATTTTATTAGAAATCCTACAATTTAGTTATATAATTATATTTCCAAATTCAATACACTTTTAAAAAAGTAGCCCTAAAATACTCGAGACATTTCAGATAAATATTAAATGGTTATCATTGCATTCCCCATATTTAATTAAATTACCCACTTATTTAAAGAAGAACCAATAGAAACAATTATTTTCTGAATCAATTCTCTAAGAAAATAAAAAATAACTAATAAGTTCACAAATATAGAAAAGTAAATTTGATCTATTAAAATTTAAAGAGGTCTCTCAAAATCCAAAAAATAGATATATATTTCCATCTCTTAAGAGCTCATTCAATAATAAAAGAAATTAATGAATAATGAAGTAATTCATTTAATAAACCCCCATTCTGATCTTTGCTGAAATATTAATCATTTATGTTTGTAAAACCGTAGATTTATTGTATTAGTATTTATAAATATATATTATAATGACATTTTGGTTGATTAATTTGGAATCAGACATAATGTTAGGTTTCATACCTTAATCCCCGAAACTCTCAATTTTTGTTGGTGTCATCTTTTGGATCATAAATATACTCACTATAATAGTGGAAGAATCCTATATAATTGATAATGACAAATAGGGAATATTTTGTTATGAAACTTTGGCAGCAGTATTTGTAGTTTATGGAATTTTAGGATTGAGTTAGTATTTCATTGTTCAAGTAAACTATTGTCATGAAGAATATAGAAAAGAATTCGTGATTCTTCTGTCTAAATAGCTCCAGAAGAATAATTAACACCTTAAAAAACTGGATAATCAACTATGAAATCTCCCTTAAGAACTGTTATCACTTAGAATTCACATAGAAAATAATCTCGACTTCTACCATTAGCTACAAATTTTTAGAAACGTTATTACAAAGGGTTGTTTTTGTTTATAACAATCTTTGTCATTCATTCCTTATTATTTATTCATCAAACTACGGCACTCGTTACTTTCAAGGTTGCCTTATCGTTGCATATCATATTGCTTACCTAATTATTTTCATCTGTGCTTATCAATTTTTTTACTATAATATCGATAGGAAATTTGCTGTTAAATTTGTACTCAATAAATGTTTTCGTAAAATATTATGGAAATAACACTTTTTATACAGCCTTTATGAATTTTCTAACAAACACAACAGAAATATATATATTTTCTTTGAATTTGGCTTTGATCATGTCATCTATTATCGGGTTACTGTTTGTTAATGATTTAGTTAGTTAGATTTTATTCTACTTTTATCTCTCAATCTTTGGAGTTGCCTTTTTAATAAAAGTATATCAAAAAGTAAAGGGAGAATGAATATTGATTAATATTTAATATATCAAACTTGATATTGTTGAATTCTACTGATTAGACTAATTTTAAAGCCTACTCGCTTATTGCTTATTCTCTTTAGAATTCATTTTATTTTCTATCATTGTAAATCTGAACTTCATCTCGAAAGGTCATTTTTCAATCGAAGTCGTTGATCATAGGAAGCTTTATTAGTAGCTTTTTAATCTCTAAGTGCTTTCACTTAATCGATTTTATTTATTAAGCCCATTAATTGAAATATCTAGAGTTGCAATCAAATCACCATTGTGAGCATTAGATTATCTTTAGAATTCAGATAAACAGCAGTGAATTTTTCAATTCTGGCTTTAAACTCTTCTTGGTCCTATGCCTCTTATAAAGATAAATCAATGATTGAGTTCAAAAAAGCATATCTAAATTCATTCAAATAATCCACAATTTCGCTTAAGACCCCTTTCTCTTAAAAGTCTTAACTTGAATCAAAGGTGATCAAAGCTTTTAAGAAAAGAGCCGTTTTGCTTCCGGATTTGATACTTAATTCTATCTTTGAAGATGAATTTGGAATTTCTTCACTTATGCAATATGGATTATTGAGTATCTATAAAAGCACCTAAGCATCATCTACTGCTACTGTTGCTTCATTCAATTCTGATACTTAGGCTTCATAAGCCTCATGTACTTATTCTCTTGTCAAACTCTCTTCATCCATCTATACTTTCTTGGAATTAAAAAAGATTCTCAACATAAATTTATGCATATTATACCTATAGATTGAGTTGAATAAGTTATGAATTGCGTTCATTAGTTCCCAGTTAGAAATTGAAGTCCATCCACTAGATCATTAACCAGCTCTTCAATTGCGACCAATAAATCTGAGATTGATTCTCCTACCATTAAATGTAATTTAATTATTTGCAGTAATGTTCTTCCATAGTTAATTTTTATAATTCGGTTTGTAATTATATGGACTCTAATTTCTCATCTTTTTCCAAATGGCCAAAGAAATGAGCAATATAACGATTGCTATTCTCATCTGAATTAATATTTTAATATTAACCATATTAAATTTTTGTTTGCGTATCTTTAACAACAATAGATATTTATATTCTAATTCCAACAATGCATGCTTAGTTATAATTAAACTTTATTATATTTATAATTTCTAAAATTAGAAAATTAATACACAATTTGAATGACATATCATTTAAAAAAGATATTAATTTAATTTATAAGAAAATTTATAGATATGTGTATTTTTAAGCCAATTTTGGAGAAGTCATATAGTTTTGATTCTATAGATAATTGAAAAAATGATCTTTTAGAGTATATTGCAGGGAATTATTGACTTAGATTTTTCATATAAAAACTAATTTGATTAATCGAAGTTATTTTAAAACTAATTAAAACTTTTGAAACTAATTGTCTCGATTCAAAAATATGTTTCTAATACTTCGTAAAGAATTATTACTAATGGAATATCTCTAAAAAAATGAAATTATAATAATATGAAATAAAAATGGCTGATCTTATTCTAAGAAAGGAAAGAATGTAGTATTTTTAGAATTAATGCCTATTGTAAAAGAATATTTAATTAAAAAGAGCAAGTCTATCAAATTAACTTATATATTCTAAGAATTAATATATTTTTTATACAAATAAAAATTATCATCATTTTTATTATTTTGTATATCTTAAATTAAAATTACTTTTTATTAGGAAAAAAAATAAATAGAATCAATCTAACTAAGAATTCAATTTTTACTTGAAGTTAAGCTGCTAATTTAGAGTTTGAAACATGTATATTTTTATTTCTTTATTTTGAAGTTCTTTTAAACATGCTATATTGTGTTACTTATTAACAATTTTATATAGTTTAGAATATTTATAATTTTTATAATATAACTCAAATATTAAACCAAACAGCCAATACTATTATTATTCCAAAAATTATAACACCAATGAAAATAATAGTAAAAATTCTGAATTTTTCATTTAAAAAATCTATCGCCTAAGTTTTTACTGCAATTTGAATTGTCAATAATTTTTCCAGATTTTCTTGTATTTTCTAAATTTGAGCATTTTATTATTTAGAATTTGTTCCAAGATTTTCTTGTATTTTCTAAATTTGAGCATTTTATTATTTAGAATTTGTTCCAAGATTTTCTTGTATTTTCTAAATTTGAGCATTTTATTATTTAGAATTTGTTCCAAGATTTTCTTGTATTTTCTAAATTTGAGCATTTTGTTATTTAGAATTTATCTGAGTTATTGATGATAAATCTGAAATTTATTCTTCCAGATTTTTTTGTATTATCTAAATTTCAGCATTTTATGGGTTTTAATGAGTTTGAATATATAATTACAAAGCATCAATTTTCTCAACAAAATTTGAATTCAAATTTTAAATAGAATCATTCTGTGCTTTTAATTACTATTAAATATTGGAATTGTTAAATGAGTAAGATTAAATTATCTTTTACAACTCTCCTAATTTTAGTTATCTTAATTCTAGTTCTTATTCTAGTTTAATTATATACTAATAGAAATCTTTTGAATTAGCATCTAATTCTGTGCAATATTTTAGATCATCATCAAGTTAATTCGAAAAAAGATTACAAAATTTAATTTCAAAGTTGTGATAAAGCTGTTAATAGAATAGATGAATGTGTTCTTTAGTTGTTGTAAGAAAGCTTGAATTAAAATTACTAAAAATATCGTTCGGAATTTCAGGGTTCAAAAAAAAGTGATTTAATTATTATTATTCTAAGAAAACTGCTTTTACTTTGTATTTTTCATAATTGAGATATGAAATTTTATTAAGCTTGATTAATTTTTAATAAATTAATATGAATTTATTTTTTTTATATGATGATTATATTT